AAATACCATCGTTTCGGCGTCCAAGAGTGGCCGAAACACCGCTATTTACAGTGTTTCGTGCCTTCCACGTTTTCTTGAAATTGCAAAAACACTGTAAATACCAGCATTTTTTGCGATCAACCCGCCAAAAATGCTGTAATTTATAGTGTTTTTTTGCTTTGCTTGCAAAAACACTGGTATTTGCAGTGTTTTGTGCATCCCTGGTCTAAACAGTATTGGTATTTACAGCATTTTCTGTGTTTTTGAAATGCTCCCGCCAACGACGTTAAAATGCAAAAATGCTGTAATTTACAGCATTTTGTGACTTTCGAAAAGCGAAAAATCATCCGGCGCTTTTTCCCGATTTTAGGTACCCTCAAAACGGGGGGGGGCGGGATTATGCTCTTGGAGACGCTTATGAGCGACCCGTATTCCGGCCAAAAAGCTCGCCCCCACCCTCCTGAAGGATGGTTGGTGTTTTTCGGGGCCCGCCGTCGGAGGGTCGGCGGCTTGGGGCGCGCCTCACCATAGAGCTCTAGTCGCTCTGGGACGCTCGTAGGGCAAGCCACTCGTGGGGAGCCGGCGGAGCCGAATTTAAGCGCTTACGCGCGACAGCCGGCCAGGGGCCCAACTATGTAGGCCCATTGTGTGGCTATGTTGGCCTATGTTGGCGTATGTTGGCCTATCTTGCGGGCAATGTGGGCCCATCTTGTGGCCATGTTGGCCTATGTTGGCCTCATGTTGATTCATGTTGAGCCAAAAGATCCGAAAAATGGGAACAGCAAAAAAAACACTGTAAAACGCAGGATATTTTGATGGTCGGCGGCCTATCTTGGGGCTTGGGGCCCATCTTGGGGCTATGTCGGCCTATCTTGAGGGCAATGTGGGCCCATCTTGGGGCTATGTTGGCCCATCTTGGGGCTATGTTGGCCCATCTTGTATGTTGGAGCTATGTTGGCCCATCTTGGGGCTATGTTGGCCCATCTTGGGGCCATGTTGGCCCATCTTGGGGGCTATGTTGGCCCATCTTGAGGCCTATGTTGGCCCATGTTGACCCATCTTAAACCACAAGATCCGAAAAATAGGAAAAAAGGCGAACAGCAAAATACACTGTAAAACGCAGGACATTTTGGCGACACGCGGTGGTCTGCGGCTGGGGCGGCGGCCCCTCTCTACTACGGAGAGGAGAGAAACGCCTTCGGCAAGGACACGGCCAGGGGGCCCCTGGCCGGATTTAAAGCGCTTACGCGCGACAGCCGGCCAGGGGCCCAACTATGTTGGCCCATCTCTTGGCTATGTTGGCCTAGGTTGGCTGAGCTTGGAGCTATGTTGGCTCAGCTTGGGGCTATGTTGGCCCATCTTGAGACCTATGCTGGCTCATGTCGCGAAAAATGGGAACCGCAAAAAACACTGTAAAATGCAGGATATTTTGATGGTCGGCGGGCTATGTTGGTCGATCTTGGGGCTATGTTGGCCTATCTTGAGGTGGGGCTATGTTGGCCCATCTTGGGGCTATGGTGCCCCATCTTGGGGCTATGTTGGCCCATCTTGAGGCCTATGTTGGCCCATGTTGACCCACCTTGAGCCACAAGATCCAAAAAAGGCGAAAAAATGGGAAGAGCACAAAACACCGTAAAACGCAGGGGTTTTTGGCGGGGGGGAGAGGTCGGCGGCAGGGGCGGCGGCCCCTCTCTCCTACGGAGAGGAGAGAAACGCCTACGGCAATGCCACGGCCAGGGGGCCCCTGGCCGGATTTAAGCGCTTACGTGCGACAGCCGGCCAGGGGCCCATGTTGAGGTGATATGGGTAGCTGGGAGCAGGATCTTAAGGCTATGTTGCCCCATCTTGGGGCTATGTTGGTCCATCTTGGGGCTATGTTGGCCCACCTTGGTGCTATGTTGGCCCGTCTTGGGGCCTAGGTTGGCCGATCATAAGGCCTATGTTGACCCATGTTGAGCCAAAAGATCCGAAAAATGGGAACAGCAAAAAAACACTGTAAAACGCAGGATATGTTGATGGTCGGCGGCCCATCTTGGGGCTATGTTGGCCCATCTTGGGGGCTATGTTGGCCATCTTGGGGGCTATGTTGCCCCATCTTGAGGCTATTTTGGCCCATTTGGAGCTATGTTGGCCCATCTTGGGGGTATGCTAGCCCATCTTGGGGGCTATGTTGGCCGATCTTGAGGTTATGTTGCCCATCTTGAGGCCTATGTTGGCCCATGTTGACCCATCTTGAGCCACATGTGCGATGTTAGTGCAAAAACATGTTGAATGTCACAGGGCCAAAAAACACTGTAAATTACAGGGGTTTCTGTCGACACGCGCACCCTACCGGAGGTCGGCGGCAGGGGCCCAACTATGTTGACCCATCTGTTGGCCTATGTTGACCTATCGTGCGAGCAATGTGGGCCCAGCTTGGAGCTATGTTGACCCAGCTTGGGGCTATGTTGGCCTATCTTGAAGGCTATGTGGGCCGATCTTGAGGCCTATGTCGGCCGATCTTGAGACCTATGTTGGCCCATGTTGACCCGCGTGGAGCCAAAAGATCCGAAAAATGGGAACAGCAAAAAAACACTGTAAAACGCAGGATATTTTGAGGGTCGGCGGCCGATCTTGGGGCTATGTTGGCCCATCTTGGGGCTATGTTGGCCCATCTTGGGGCTATGTTGGCCCAGCTTGGGGCTATGTTGGCCCATCTTGGAGCTATGTTGGCCCATCTTGGGGCTATGTTGGCCCATCTTGGGGCTATGTCGGCCCATCTTGAGGCCTATGTTGGCCCATCTTGAGGCCTATCTTGGCCCATGTTGACCCATCTTAACCCACAAGATCCGAAAAAGGCCCAAAAATGCGAAGAGCACAAAACACCGTAAAACGTGGGGGTTTTTGGCGGCCGGGTTGGTCGCCGGCAGGGGGCGCGGCCCCTCTCTCCTACGGAGAGGAGAGAAACGCCTTCGGCTATGCCACGGCCAGGGGGCCCCTGGCCGGATTTATGAGGCTTACGCCTGACAGCCGGGCGCCGGCAAAGCAGACCCGTCAGCCCGAGCGGGCGTTGGTGTTGTTGTTGTTGTTGTTGTTGTTGTTGGCCGATGTTGGCCCTATTTGGGCGCAGGTTTGCCCCTGTCTTGGCCCTCGGTTGGCCCATGTAGCCCACATCTTGGCGTAATGTCGACCCAGGTAGCCCACATCTTGGCCGATGTTGGCCCTATCTTGGCCTATGTAGTCCCTATCTTGGCCTTATGTCATACAACTTCTATCAGGAGGTCTCCCATGTAGAGAGGTCTTGTTCGTCATTTCGCCTCATGAGGGGCCATGAGGTTTTTCAAACAGCCGCCTAAAGAAGTTCTTTTGAGTATGGACCCATAGATCCATAGATCTCTTTGAAACCTTTGAGCGGCTTGCCCCCCGAACAACGAAGGGATTGCGGTGGGTCAGGAACAGCTCTTGCAGAAGAAAACATATATTGAGAGCCGCAAAGACATCAGACCCTGCCGTATTCCAAGACTTTTTGAGACTTTATGACACTTTTTGGGTTCGGATGCAATTCGATGCCAAAAAGGAATCAAGTTCCAGTGACCCGAAATTGAAAGACGAGGAACACCTTCACACTCTTTGGAGCTGCAACTATCTTCAACCCGACTTCCAAAACCCCCACCAAGGGTTGGTCCGAGGTTCAACCAGCCGCACAAGAGTCTTTGCCTTGCTGCAGGCATCCTTGTATTGTTTTGCATTTCATTCAAATGCGGAAAAATCATTTGTGTACGAAACCCTGTGAAGGTGGCAGGTGAGCAAAGGCACTCGCTTCAATTTGTGAGTGCGAGTGTGCGCAAGCGGCGCAGTGTTCCTAGAGAATACCAAAGACCAAGACTATAGTCCTTCCAAATGATGTCCTCGCTTTCGGTCTGTCTTGGAGATTTTGCAGTTACTCCACATCCCAGAAGATTCTAAGACATCTTAAGCTGGACTCTGGAGCAAGGCACACTCAAGCGGGGCTTGGGGCTTGGGGCTTCACCACAAGGGTGCCCCAGTTACGTTTGGTATAACTGATTTATAACCCCATTAACTAGTTCAATACATCTACCATAAACACCGAATGGAATTCACCTAGTTCACCCAATATTCCCCATATTTTGTGGAATCAAGATTCATGGCAGCTGAGCTTCAGGCCTGGCACCGCCCTGAGACATGTGCCGAGGTGCTCTCTTGAGCTGAAGCATTGGACCTGACGTACAACTTGCGATTCCATTTTTTGAAGGTTTTGAACAGCTTTGAACTGCTTTGAACATGTTTTAAGGTGGTGGATTTGACGCCACGGGATCTCACGGGACCGGACGGGACGTCGAGGGTCAGAATCTGAAGCTCTAACAGACTCTAACATAGAACGAACCATCTGATGTCGATGTTTTCTGTCATTTTCTATTGTAAACCAGAAGGTATACCTGCTTGTACCATATAAGATTGTTTCCGTGACCAAATGCGAGGTTCACACGTCACGAAGAAGCTTTCTCTTCCCAACAGCGTCACTTGATGCGGAGGTTCCGGTGTGGTGGTTCTGGGGGTTCCGATGGTGTGCGTCTTGTTCATGAACTTTTGATGCATGTTCCAGGGCAGTTCCGGGTGGTTCCGAGTGGTTCTGGGTGGTGCCGGGTGGCTCCGGGTGGTTCCGAGTGGTTTCGTACTATTTGTGTTGAATCACATAGTTTTTCCTGCTTCAGTTTCTTGGCGTCACTTCCCAAATTTTCGTTCCTTGCCTACTTGGCGTTAAAAGTTAGTCAGGACGGAGAACATGTTGAACACAGTTGTCCAACACAGCATAGTTGGTCAGCACGCATTCCAGGTGCAGGTCGATCCTTTGGAAAAGTCCGGGCCTGAGGCAGCGTGGACCTTTTCAGGATTTTATCTCTCGCCCAAGCGATCGATTCGAAGTGGAGAGGTGTTTTTCCTGAGATGATCCATATGCGTTGGAAAGCTGGCACTGGTTGCTTGTGGAACGCCATTGGCTCGAGACATCCTGACCAAACGCCATGTCGGCCATGTCGGCCATGTCGGCCATCGTTCCACTGTCGCTCTTCTTGGTGAGTGTGAGCCCCATCGCAGCTGAACTTGAGCCCGAGGATGGCTGCTTGTTGCAGAAAACCAACGAGCGACAGCTTTTGACCAAGGAGGAGCAAGGTCCTGTTCCTGGCTATATACTCCTGTGCGGACCCAGATGCAGATGTGCATTTCCTGAAACTCTTAAAGAAGGACCCACCAATGCTGTTGAATGTGCAGCCGCTTGTCCAACCTCATCAGCCACATCATGGCTTGGATTTACTTTCGATCCAACCGGTCCTGAATGCCGTTGCTGCAACAACCTCGATATTGTTTCCCCTGTCAATAAAAATTTCTATTTATACGCATTCACCGGGGAAGTGGTCGGGGACCCACACATCACTACTTTGGATGGCAAACACTACACTCTTCTCAGCCAGGGTACCTTTTCCCTGTGGCATTTCTCAGGCCTGGAGACGGAGTTGCATTCAGAAGAAGTTGGAACCAAGAAACTCCCAATCGATTGGCAAGTGTACGTGCACTATTCGGGCCACCAATCCTTCACGAAGGGCTTGCTTCTGATCGACAAGTCAGGAGGATCCATCCGACAAGTGCTTGAGATCACTTCGCAGGACTGCAGGTGGAAAGCACGGAAAGGAAACGGAGACTGGAGAGTGGTCGACAATGCAGAGCTCATCTCCATCCCAGATGGTAAGGACTACGTGACAGGCTTCGACCTCGGCACCGTGGGTCCTCGCGGTCATGGTGGCCATGGCTTTCCCAACCGTGTACGCTTCAACATGAACACGAAGAATGGCAAGTCGGACATAGCAGTCATGAGTCTCAGTTGCAGACCAAGCCACAACATGAATCTCCAAATCTCAATGAACCGCCAGAGCGACCAGCAGTTTGTGGATGGCGAGTTGAAGGTCGCACGCAAGTCGCTGTCTACGCTGCAGACCTCCACCGACTTTGAATTCAGCGTGGATAGCAAGTGGCAAAAGCTCGGTGGAAGTGAACAAGCAGCCTCGTACTTTCAGCTCGTTGACACAAATCAAACATCTGTTGCCTCGTTCCAATCGCAAGGCTGCAGTGATGCTGAAAAAGGTTTGGCGGCAGAGGCTTGTTCCAAGCACTTGGGAGAGGCGCATGGCACGCATTTCTTTGAAGATTGCATTTATGATGTTTGCCATGGCGCTGGCGAGACGCAAGCAGAACTTGCTGCAGAGCTTCTCGCTGTGACCAAAGCTGATTAGGATGAATACTGGGACGTGCGGATTTACCATATGATTTACTCGCACTTGTTAGTGCGATTTACCATATGATTTGCTCGCACGTGTCAGGGGCAGTTCTTTCCCTTCAGCACCTTCCCATATGCGGTCGGTTTGGATGATTGCCCTCAGTGAAAAAGAGCTAGTTTCTCAACAGATGTGGTGAGACACAAGATGAACTGTGCACTTCTGAAGTCTGTGCAAATTCCAAGTTCCAAGTATTGTCCCACTTTGGGGTGCCATTTTTCACGTATGGCCTGGTATGCAGCAACCTCTGACACCATGCCCCACCTTGAGGTGGACTCCGCAGTAAATCAGCAAGAGGACTGACATGTCATGTTGGTATGCCCTACCTGCAGATATCTACAGTGATCCGTTTTCTTTTTTCGTGGTTGCAACGGTTGCAACGGTTGCAACGGTTGCAACGGTTGCAACGGTTGCAACGGTTGCAACGTGTCCTGGCGATGTTTGGTCGCCCCAATCCCAGTGTAATATGGCTTTGTCTGAAAATAGGGCATGCCCAAACCCCGTGGTTCATCATTTTCCAAAAATGCCAATTGGGGGTGTAGCTCATTTTCAGACGTACACGCGCACACATTTTTTTAGTGTATCAATATGGGATTTATGAGGAAGCAGGAGCATCAAAAGCAGCCTTGCAAACGGCCATTGATTCTAAGTGATGCTTAAGAACCGTGGACTTCCGGGGCCACGATGGCAGGAACAGTGCGGTCCATTTTCCCAGCTCTGCAGCAGTGGCTTGATGGATCCAGAAACAGGGGCACAAGATCAGTGATTCTTCATTTGGCAGAAATTTAAAGCATTCTTAATTGGATTTGGATGGATTTGGATGTTGGCTTTGGGCCTACAAAGAGGGGGTGTGATCATCCATTAAAACCATCCCTGAAGTGGTCGTCAATTTGGGAACCCGTGTGGATTATTTTGCTGGAAATAATCCAACAAATTGGAAACTTTGGGGGTCGACAATTTAGAGAAAATCCACATGACAATCTCTGGTCCACAGCTTTTTTTAGTTTTGGAACTATGCAAAATCGATTGGGCCCACCAAATCATCGTCCATTCAAGGTGCAAAATTGAGAATTTTGCGGACTTTTGGCCATGTCTGGCTGCATTTTAAGGATGAATTAGGTCAGAAAATTGGGCAATCTCCAATAGTTGATCATCACACAATAAAATGGCAGTTTTGGGGACCAAATTTGGTGCTTCCACAATGACTGGCCGGTTTTTCTTCAAGCTTGAGGCAGAGGTACAAGCTAAGGAGGAGATTGGGTTGAAATTTGGATCGGGGGTGCAGTAGGGGTTCTTCATGGGTATGACCATGGTAATAAACCCCCAACTTGATTATGTAACCACTTGTACTATAACTGGAAGTTTCTCCACATCATGCCTAGGAACACGATGCACCCAGCGACACGAGCCGGGGCCTGAGTCAAGTTTTCCGCTGTGGGATTGTGTGGTCCTGGTGTTCAGGGTTTGTTTTTACATTGACTAATAGAAAAACACCTTTCTTGCCAGCAAAACACATTTCAAATTGGATCTTCAACTCCTTGTTCTGTTTGTGCGACTTCTAGAGGCGACTTTGAAACTTCATACAACTTCTATCAGGAGGTCTCCCATGTAGAGAGGTCTTGTTCGTCATTTCGCCTCATGAGGGGCCATGAGGTTTTTCAAACAGCCGCCTAAAGAAGTTCTTTTGAGTATGGACCCATAGATCCATAGATCTCTTTGAAACCTTTGAGCGGCTTGCCCCCCGAACAACGAAGGGATTGCGGTGGGTCAGGAACAGCTCTTGCAGAAGAAAACATATTTTTAGAGCCGCAAAGACATCAGGCCCTGCCGTATTCCAAGACTTTTTGAGACTTTATGACACTTTTGGGTTCGGATGCAATTCGATGCCAAAAAGGAATCAAGTTCCAGTGACCCAAAATTGAAAGACGAGGAACGCCTTCATACTCTTGGGAGCTGCAACTATCTTCAACCCGACTTCCAAAACCCCAAGCAAGGGTTGGTCCGAGGTTCAGCCAGCTGCACACAAGAGTCTTTGCCTTGGTGCAGGCATCCTTTGATTGTTTTGCTCTTCATCGTTTCGGTACAATCATTTGTGTACGAAACCCTTGGGCGGGCAGATGTTTGAAGGTTTTTGGCACTCGATTCAGTTTGTTTTTGAGTGCGAGTCTGTGCAAGCAGCGCAGTGTTGCTGAGAATTCCAAAGACCAAGCCTATGTCCTTCCAAATGTCCTCACTTTCGGACAAAAACTTATAGGATCATATAGGTCTGCCCTGGAGATGTTGCAGTTACTCCACATCCCGGAAGATTCTAAGACATCCTAAACTGGACTCTGGAGCAAGGCACACTCAGACAGGGCTTGGGGCTTTATGGGGCTCGATGGGGATGGGGCTTGACCAGGACCGTTCACCAGGAGCAGCATTGGATCCACCAGGAGGCGCTCTAAGGCACCTCAAGGATGTCGAGGTCGAGGGATGTCAGAATCTGAACCAACACAGAACGAACCATCTGAAGATGTCGATGTTTTCTGTCATTTTCGATTGTAAACCAGAAGGCGTACCTACATTATAATAAGATAATAAGATAATAAGATAATAAGATAATAAGATAATAAGATAATACGATAATAATATAATAAGATAATAAGATAATAAGATAATAAGATAATAAGATAGATAGATAGATAGATAGATAGAATAGAATAGAATAGATTAGATTAGATTAGATAGATAGATAGGTAGATAGATAGATAGGTAGATAGGTAGATAGGTAGATAGGTAGATAGGTAGATAGGTAGATAGGTAGATAGGTAGATAGGTAGATAGGTAGATAGGTAGATCGATTTGATCGATTTGATCGATTTGATCGATTTGATCGATCGATTAGATCGATTAGATCGATTAGATCGATTAGATCGATTAGATCGATTAGATCGATTAGATCGATTAGATGGATTAGATGGATTAGATGGACAAGATCGACAAGATCGACAAGATCGACAAGATCGACAAGATCGACAAGATCGACAAGATAGACAAGATAGACAAGATAGACAAGATAGACAAGATAGACAAGATAGACAAGATAGACAAGATAGACAAGATAGACAAGATAGATAAGATAGATAAGATAGATGAGATAGATAAGATAGATAAGATAGATAAGATAGATAAGATAGATAAGATAGATATGATAGATATGATAGATAAGATAGACAAGATAGATAAGATAGATAAGATAGAATAGATAGAATAGATAGAATAGAATAGAATAGAATAGCTGGATAGATAGATAGATTAGATTAGATTAGATTAGATTAGATTAGATTAGATAGATAGATAGATAGATAGATAGATTTATATACACACATATATCCATGCGGGCCGGCCCAGCCGGCCAGCCGGCAGACTAGGCCGAAGTTTTCCTAAGAACCAAGAAAAAACAACAGAACCAAACGAAAAAGCAAAGATTTAGCAACTAGTCCAAAAACAATAATTCGAGATTTGTTTCTTTGGGTGTGTGCGTGTGTGTTGTTGATTTCTTTTTCTTGTTCTTTTTGGTTTTTGCGCGGCATTCTTTGGTCCGGATACAAGGAGATATCCAATACCAATATTGACCACCAAAATCAATGGATGTATCTGGAACATGGCTTTTGCGTCGCCCACAACAGGCTTGTCTGGAAAGCAAACATCGGGTTCCAAGATTCCCAGCGGTCACAAACATAAGTTTCCCAAACACAACATTTTACCAGATCACTTTTCTGAAACACAATTCCAAACACGTTGTGTCCAAGATGTCATCGAACAAGAAGTGCCGTTACAACATGTTCCACGCATTCGCAGAAAACATATCACCAAATGAAACAACAAAAGACAACACATTCCTTGAGAAGATTCCAAAGGAGCGGTTCCCATGCAGAAGGTTCCCAAACTGAAATTTGTGAATGAAATGGCGATAAAAGGTCCCGGCAAGCAGCCTGAAGAGAAGGTTTGAGAACCAAAGGCTCCCCGGGGGCCGGAACGTCCCTTCTGAAATCCCAATAGAAATCTACTTTTGACTGCTGCTGCTGGTGGCTGCTGATTACAAGAAACCAACAGCCAGACACCTTTTTCGAAACACACCCGAAACGGCAAAACACCACCTAATTTCCTGCCGAAAAGGACGCGAAATCAGTCGCAATAACAAGCTCCCCGGGGGCCGGAACGTCCCTTCTGACATCCCAATAGAAATCTACTTTTCTACTGCTGCTGCTGGTGGCTGCTGCTGCTGCTGCTGCTGGCTGCTGCTGCTGCTGCAATCAACCAGCCTCTAAAGAAAGAAACCAACAGCCACACACCTTTTTCGAAACACACCCGAAACAGCAAAACACCACCTAATTTCGTGCCGAAAAGGACGCAAAATCAGTCGCAATAACAAGCTCCCCGGGGGCCGGAACGTCCCTTCTGAAATCCTACTAGAAATCAAATTTTGACTGCTACTGGTGCTGCTGCTGGTGCTGCTGCTGCTGCTGCTGCCATCAACGACAGTCTTTAAAGCAAGAAACAAACAGCCAGACACCTTTTTCGAAACACACCCGAAACGGCAAAATTCGTGCCGAAAAGGACGCAAAATCAGTCGCAATAGCAAGCTCCCCGGGGGGAGGAACGTCCCTTCTGAAGTCCTACTAGAAATCAAATCAAATTTTGACATGCTGCTAGTGGTGCTGCTGCTGGTGGCTGCTGCTGCAGCTGCAATCAACCAGCTTCTAAAGCAAGAAACCAACAGCCAGACACCTTTTTCGAAACACACCCGAAACGGCAAAACACCACCTAATTTCGTGCCGAAAAGGACGCAAAATCAGTCGCAATAACAAGCTCCCCGGGGGCTGGAACGTCGCTTTTGAAATCCCAATAGAAATCTAATTTTGACTGCTGCTGCTGGTGGCAGCTGCTGGTGCTGCCGCTGGTCTGCTGCTGCTGAT